TACTGTCTCTGTGTATGGTTCTCGAGCTGCACAGGGGCAGAGAAAAAGGCAATTCAGAGGGTGATCAAGACGGCCCAAAACATCATTGGCTGCTCATTCCCCTCTTTGGAAGAACTGTATAGGAATAGATGTAGGAGGAAGATACTTAACATATTGAATGACTCCTCTCATCCGGGACATCAGATCTTTGAACTATTACCATTGAGAAGGAGATTTAGGGTATTAAGAACAAGGACGACCAGATTTAAGAAGTTTTTATCCAAGTGCAGTTTTGAGTTTGAATGCGGGGTCATAAGATTTTTGTGGAGTTTAATGGCTGAGAGTAGTGGGGTATTTACATTTTTAAATTGTATAGAGATTATTGTATGGTTGGTTGTGTTTAGTTTAATTTTTTTTTCTTTTTCTTTTTTAGTGGTGTTTGTCCAGTTTTACTTGTGGAAGAGCACCTCATTTCGTTGCACCCGCTTGCGAGTGTAATGACAAATAAATTCTTATGTCTTATGTCTATATATTTCCCAACAATTTATCAATACATTCCAATTATTTGTCTTCCTCTGGAATGATTAGGGGAGGAGGGGGTGAGCATCCTCAACTGACAAACTATCATGGTTTTCTCTTGCAGAGCCTTTAAATGTACATTTTATGTTCCTGATGACTTCAGTGAGTTTTGCACTGTTTCTAAAACATAGATATAAACAAGCAAGCTTTCTAGATGGAACTCATCTGACTATGAGTTATAGCTATTATAACCAACTTTTCTTCCATTCCAATACTCTTTCGCTAAAAGAAAACTTAATAAGCTTTTGAGAGCCTCCATTTAAAGTCAGCTGTATAAAATGCTCCTTTGATGAAAAGATATTGGAACAAGGGTTAAAGTAGACACTGAGAGGTTATTGTAGAGGGCATGCTGGTCATGAAATCCTCCTTTAATATATGTGACATGCATCTGCAATAAGATGATTAATTAGATAAGGCTTCTCTTTGACAAGGTCCATCGTTCAACCCTTGGGGTAGTGATGGAACAATTCTGTAGCCCCCCAGCAAATGTAACAAGGTCAGCATTTTTCCTTGTCGGGACTTACTCAAGGCACATGGGCCCCAGGTGAATCTTTGTATTATCTTAATCATGTTTAAATAATATTTATTATTAATAAATATTTTAGAAATATGAAGCAGAAGAAAATAAATTCCACTTTTAAGGAAAGCAGAATAGTAACAATGGAATCAGCTAGAATAGAAGAATTTGTTTTTTAATTACATGAAATGAATTGAGGGAACATCCTTTATAACCACTGGTTTCAAAAAAATACTATAATATTGCCTTCATTGTATAGTTGTTTTATCTTCCCGATTTGGGAAGATCTTGAGACTCACCAAACATATTGAAATCTGAGTTTATTATAGAAAGGACTCAGAATGTTTGATTTAACTAAATATATTTCTTGAAAACAAGTAATCTACATATAAGAAGAAACATAGAACTGGTCTCCAAGCAAATGAATGACTAGATCGATACCCATGCTTCGCTACAAAACTATGTGGCTGGGCTTAGTTTTTTGGGAGGAAAATAAAGGGAAAAAATTCTGCCTCTGCCTACCAGCATCCATCAATATTCATCTGGCTAGCGTCCTGTCTGTGTGTGAGAGAGTTGAGGGCTGTTTGGAAAGTGAAACAGTATTTGCTGTGTGAGCAAGAAGGAGACAGCAAAGAACCTGGTGTGGTTTAGTTGAACTGTTCTGTAATAAAGCTGCTTGGTACTGTGAAACTAAAACTGGAACTGAAACTTCTCTACAAATTGCACGTTTGTAGGCTTTATGGTTCTGGAGATTTTGTGATGATGCGTGAGTGGTATTTCGCTTTTATATATATAGATACATACTGTTTTATTTATTCTCTATATACAAATGCATATTAAATGCTATCTGCAATATCTGTATACTAAAACTCTCAAGCTTGTTTGTAACCTTCAATTGGATGTCGCAAATGTGCTTTTTTCAAGAGGCAACTGGACTTTCTGGTTTTTCTTTGAAGACATTTTACTTCTCATCCAAGAAGTTTCTTCAGCTCTGACTGGGTGGTGGGAAATGGAAGGATTTATACTCCTTGCAGACAGCTGGACATTTGCCTTTTTAACAGGTCATTAAGATCACCTAGAGGTTTATCGGTTACCTGAACAACCCACTAAAAGAATGCAAATGTCCAACTGTCTGCAAGAAGTATAAATCCCTCCATTCCCCACCATCCAGTCAGAGCTGAAGAAGCTTCTTGGATGAGAGGCGAAACGTCTTCAAAAAAACCAGAAAGTCCAGTTGCTTCTTGAAAAAAGCACCTTTGGGACAACCATGACCTGGATGACTGAGAATCTCCATAGACCTTCAGTTGGGTGAAATTGGAAGGTATAGGGCAGGGGTGTCAAATTCAATTTCATTGAGGGCCGCATCAGGGTTGTGTTTGACCTTGAAAGCCAGGGGGCAAAGCATGCTCGGGGTCATGTTGGGAACAAAAGAGAAGGGGCAGCAGCCACTCACCTGCATCTGGAAAGGAGAAGGAAGGGAGTAAGGAAGGAAGGTGGAATAAAGGGATGGAGGCAGGAGAAGAGAAAGGAAGGGAGAGAGCAAGGGAGCGTGGGAAGCAACTAGGAGAAAGGAAGATTTCAGATACTGCCTGCCAGCTCACCACAAAGGAATTCAGGGAAATCGGTCCCACTCCTACTGACTTTTTGACTATCCATTGTCATTCTGTTTTCCCTTTAGATAAGGAAAGATGTCTGAAGTTCTGATTCATTGGATTGTCTAGTAAAAAGCGGGCCTGGGGAACTGAGAGCAGGATGGAGCCCTTAAATGGCTCATGTGATCTGCTGTTGCCGGGGCAGGGGGTGATTTTGTTATATTGTACTATATTAATTAATTTGATTCTTTTTGTTAGTTTTTATTGGTTTAAATGTGGTTTTATATTCTGTAAACTGCCTTGAGTTGCCATGGGCAAATAGGTGGCAATATAAATTCAATGAATGAATAAATAAATAAATAAATAAATAAATAAATAAATAAATAAATAAATAACTTATTAGTATGCATTAAAATTTGGTACCATCATTATTATTTTTAATTCTATGTTTGTGTAAGATAGCAACCAAGTCTTTTATATATACAAATAGAAAATGGAATTCATTGAAAACAAAGCATCAGTGATGGACAAATGTTCTATAAATTTCCTTGGAACTAATCATGCTAAATCCAATAAATCCAGTTCTGTTGTGAATAGCTGCAATTCTGTATAAAATAAGCCATAGCAGAAAAGAGAAAACATTTTATGACTGTATATGCATAGAAGTATTTATCTTACTTGGACAATTTAGAACCAAACTTACCCCAGCTCATGTCAGGTAACAACAATTAAAACGACTAAAAATTTACAACACACACACACTTTCAGTTGCAATATTTATCTAACACAAGTTACCTAATTAGAGCAAAGATAACAAATAGCATACTGTGCAAAAAAATAATAATCACTGTAGGGTGTACAGCTGCTAAGGAGGGTGCCAATATAGCTTCCTGTGATGAGTTGCTTAGGTGTGGCATTCAATGAAACCTTGCAGGAGTAGAATAGTATAACTGCAGAAACAGTTTCCAAAAACAATTCAAAGGTACTTCCACACAGAGTATATTGCATTAATTTAAGCTGGACAAATAAACCTCTGGTTACAACTGTCATTTAACCTACCAAGTGCAAAACTGAAACTAGAAACATTCCAGACTATGAACCAATTTCTGCAGATGAATATTACTAGATCCAAACAATTTACTGTCTACGTTTGCTCCTCAATCAGAAGTATCTTAATTTATTACACAGTCAACTTTTCTTATAGGTTTTGCAAGATACTGATTCAGAACATCAACAATTTTCCTGGTAGAAGATGCAAAAGAGAAATTACAGCATCCATATATTAACAATGGGCCCAAATTTCCCTGATAAACCTTGCCATATCCTCAACTTACAACCATAATAGACTTACAACCATAATTGAGTCCAAAATTTATGTTGCTAAGTGAAACATTTTGTTAAGTGAGTTTTGCTCCACTTTACGACATTTCTTACCACAGTTGTTAAGTTAGTAATACAGTTGTTTAATGAATCTGGCTTCCCTATTGACTTCCTTGTCAGAAGGTCGTAAAAGGTGCTCTCATGATCCTGGGACACTGCAACCATAATAAATATTAATCAGTTGCCAAGTGTTTGAATTTTGATCATGTGAACAAGGGGATACTGCAACAGTCATAAGAGTGAAGAACAGTCATAAGTTGCTTTTTTCAGTGCCATTGTAATTTTGAATGGTCATTAAATGAACTGTTGTAAGTCAAGCATTACCTGTAGTAACATTAAACTGTGAATGTTGCTTTGATCCTTCTCAATAGTATCACTCAGTCCACATTATAAAAATGTAATTTAGTACAGTATGAAATGTTAAACTTAAAACACTGTTTTGTGGTATCAGTCTTTCCAAATGAATAAGACTTCTTAATTCTGTTGGTATTAAATGATCAGCGTATAGAATAAGAACTGAATTGAAGAAATGCTCAAGATACATAACCTTGCAAACATAGGTACAAGGCCAAAATCAAACAAATTGTCATGTTTAATTTTTATCATTTTAGAAATATTTATCTCATAGTTTTATGCTATTAATGCTGTAAATTGCCTGGAATCTCTTCAAAAGGAGATGGGCAGCAAATAAATTTAATTAAATAATAATAATTTTAAAAATAATATTGGATTAAGTCAAGCACTAAAATAGGGATATAAGTCCCAATGATTTTCAGGGTATATTTTAATGTAAGTTAGTCTCAATTCAAACCTTTATCTTAATATTCTACTTCTTTAAAATTTTCTCTTGTATATCTGTCCCCCCTTTCATATACATAGAGTCTCATATAGTTAACAATGGAAATGCTCAATATGCCATGTGAATTCACTATTTCCATCCATCTTCCACTCACCTGTCCTTGTGCATTAGTGACTAATTGACCTGTGACCCCCTGAAGACTGGAGAGTGCATTGCCAAAAGCTTGTGTGTTAGCTATTGAGCCCATGGCGGCGGCGGCTGCTTGACTTGCCAGAGGATTATTAACCAGCTGAAAATGGGAATAAAAGAGGAAAGAATAAGGCTACTCACTGCAATTCAGTTCTATAGCTCGACATTATTAATAATCAGCTTGATGGGAAGGAGCAGTTAATCTTAACATCTCAAAATGTGTTTGAGAGCTTTGACCATGTGAATATTAGGCAGTCCAATTCCAACACTTTATAAATTTCTATTGGAATAAGTGGAAATGATTTGACCTCAAGTGGATGGTAAAGATAATGAAATCTGGTCAAAGAGTCTTTTCTATCTGTAGGGAGTTTTTTTTTAAATACAGATGCAAGGTATTCAAATGGAATATGGGTTTTAAAAACATTATGTACAACTATTTGTTTAAAAGAAATTCATTAAAAGCAACTCAGAATTAGATACAAATTTCTGAAAATATATATATTTGAGATGGGCAGCTAAATAAATTTATTCAATAAATAAATACACCACATATATCCTCCAATTATTCTAATTCAGCTGGGACAATTATAAGCTGCAGAATTCCTGTCCCAGGAAAATTTTTGCAATCAAATGATCTACAATTTTATATAAATAGCCATATTTTGTTTTTCCCTTTTTCTTTCATTAAAAACTACATTAATTAAAATTAAAGGAAAATGCAGAAAATGCATCTCACACAAATCACATAATAATGTTTGAGTTACAGAATATAACAGTTTATAGCAGTAATTAAGAAAACATTTATAAAAAAGGAAGGTGATGGGAAGAGAAGTGCTTTATGAAATTTTAAAATCCTATAAAGGGCAATTCAAAGAGTTTCAATTCACTATTAAAATTTATTTTGTATTGCTCTAAAATAAAAAGTTAAAAGGAATATAGGAAATATGTTAAAAAGTTGAATGTAGATGCTTAATTTACATTTGTGGCTGTTTCAACTATTATGGTCATTCACAGGTCAATTAATAGGGCTATGCATAATTTAAGAAAATTATTCAGAACAAATGAAACCAAATGTGTAGGGACCCAAGCACAATATATATTTTTTAAGCATAAGTATTATGCTTTATTATTTCTCAGACTTCCTGTGAAACTAAAAAGATGTGACCAAATCAAAGAGCTGCATTAAAGACATAACTGCCTTAATAAGTTGACTTTTAAAACATAGATCTTTTTTAAGCTGCAGGGAAGAGAAAAAGGAATAAAGAGAAAAAAGAAGGGGAAGTAGTTGCTCTTTAAAGAGGGGCTATATTTCTTTGAAGTGGCTCTTAGAAATCATTTTCATAAGACACACTGTTCTATTATTTAATACATATTTTATACTGAAAGTAAAAAAAAAAAAGAATGAATACTTGATTGTATTAGGATACCATGGTAGAAATATGTACATATCTGGTATAAAAACATGTGAGCTTTCTGGGGAATTTTAAAAAGCTGACTAGCACCATTCATTATATAAATTTATTGTAGCTGAAATATTTGCTGTCTAAATCTACTTAAAGTCAAACTTACTGTACTCAAGAATAACTACTGATAGGGACGTTGCTGATACAACCTGACTTGATTCAATATGAATTGACACAACTGAGGTGACAGGAACAGCATACCACATCCTTCAACATACATCCTACTTTCACTCATTATGTGGCATAAATTGTGATATCTCAAGACATTTTTACTTCTAGCATGATTTGGTTGGAACAAACCCTAATTTTGTTTTCAATCCAAAAGATATTTAGCAGTAGTCTAATCAAAAAACAACAAAAGACATTTAAATAGCAAAAATATTTTATTAAATCAGTCAGTTTGATTATGCATATTCATCCATGCTAGCATTTTGTCTTGTTAGAATAAAAAAATATGGATAGAAATTAAGGAATACTATTGGGACTCAGTTCAATCTCACATTAAAAGGAGAGAGGGATATAATTGGGTTAGCTCAGGCTATATTTGCTAGCCAAATATACAAAATGATATATTATCAGAAAAATAAATCTGCAGGATCTGGATCAGCCACTGGGACCAGAGGTTTAGTCTTCTGAGCTTTTGGACTTGTTCTGGAATACATCCTCAGGGAACTTCTCTCTACAAGAAAGTATATTTTGGGCTAGGTGCCTAGTTGTGTGTTGCTTTATATTTGTTGACTGGGATATCGATGACTGGCTATTAAGTTGTTGGCTGTTGTTTGCTTGTACTGCTAAATCCTTCCTCCTAAGTACTTAGTCAGCTGGTGACTTACAAAGGACCTGTTTCCCAGCTTTCAATCATTTTCCTGACTATCTTTGTACCTGCTTGATCAAAATCTTAGTTGCTGCAAAATTGAATGTATGTCATCGATCATTGCAATGTAAGGCTACTAATGAATTGGGGATTCCTTGTTTGACCACTTGCTTCTGTTCTTGCAATGTGGTGGCTAAATTTTGCTGAACAAAAGTCCTTTGGTTGTTTAGTCCTCAGTGCTTGTCAGAATTCTGTCATAAAGCAAGTACTGTTTTATGTGGAGAAGGCATCAGCCATGGAACAATTTATCTATCTATTGGCTGTATAATTCTTTTCTTGTAAATGTCTGTACTATGCTTGTAAATATCTGTACTAGTAATTAAATCAAACACAGACAAAATATATGAATTTTGATTTTGCTAGATATTAGCAAAATTAGGTTAGATTATATAGAATTGCTGCACCAGTCACCCTTAATTCACAAGTCAAACCAAGAGATTCTGATGCAAAGAACTGAATATGATTGGAATATGAATATGATCTGGTTTTAATTCAGCAGCAATAAATGGATTCCCTAATTCAAGGTTCCCCAACACCTGGACCACAGCTCACTACCAGGCCACAGCCTGTTTGAAACTGGGCCACACAAGGAATGAGTTCAAGTGCATGCACCACTCTGCTTGTAATAATGGAGCTGTTCAGTGCGTGTATACCTGCCACACACACACACACACACACACACACACACACACCAATGGTGGGCTTTAACTTTTTTTTACTACCGGTTCTGTGGGCGTGGGTTGGTAGGCATGGCAGGGGAAGGATACCGTAAAATCTCCAGTCAGAGGTGGTATTTGCCGGTTCTTTATGTAGTAACAATAGAAATTCTGTAGAGGGCACATGCAGCAAACTGCTGAGTCTAATACAGGGGCCTCTTTGCATGATCTCACTCCCTGTCCTGGGCTGGAAAGTCCCAGACTTGTACATGATTTCACCTTACTAACATCACCACTATTTTTAAGGATTGGTTGGGGGGTTTCACAAATCCAAATGCTGTATCTATGTTACCTTTATCTTCTTGTAAAAACCCTATAAATGCAATAAACGCTGCCCAGGCAGTCAGACATCTTGGCACACTGGAAATGACTGGTCTTTGAATTCCATCACATGGTGCCCAACCAGGGACAACAGCCCTCTGGGGTAGTAACAGCCAACATATTTACCACCATCTGGAATAGACCCCTAAGATGCACCTCCTCCCACGGAATATCATGGTAAGTATGGTTGCAATCTATATCAGCAACAGCATAAACATGTACAGGAACTTAGATTCCTGTTACACAAATCAGGTGATACATGCCTGAGGTGGACATAAGAAACTGGTTAAGGAGATAGAGAAACACTGTCCCTGGTATCCTGAGTGCAGGACGCTTAGGTTAAAGGATTGGATAAAGATAAGGCATACTGATCTTTGAACCCAGGGCTCCAGTTCAAATATTACATTAATGGTATCAATGCTGTCAAGCAGTGGAAACATCTGGCTCTGATGTCTCAGCAGGACAACAATTGACTACAAATCCCCCTCCTGATTATGATCAGGTAAAAATTGTCACCCCGAAATCATTTCCAATTGGACTTTCAGCTCCTTCTGAGGAGGATAAATCTTTTGATTCTCCACAGCCATTGTACACCCCCATAAGGCAAGTATTAGAGGAACAATTTGAAAAAGGGGGAGATTCAAGCTAGAAACCCAGGACAGAGACACATAAATTTATTTGTTTAAAATTTTTATGTTTAATCCTTTTTAATTATTTAGTGCTTAAGGAGATAGAACAATGGGTGTAACTAGAATGCGGGCAACTGCTCTCTTCTGATGCACTGGATGGCAGAGTTGGATGTGGAAGGCATGCCCCGTTGATTTCAATGGTCCACAGTTAGCTCTGCTGTTCAGGAGCATGGAACGAGACACATATCCGTGTTTAAAATAGAGCCCCTCCATACAGTACATTGGGGCTGATCAAAGAAGATATGGTTAATTTATGCTGTTATGTATGGTGGAGGGAACAAGGAGAAGAAGAAAATGTTTGTTGTTCTTTTCATGGTGTGATTTCCATTTAAACTTCTTAGATGTGTATGTATAATAATGTATAATAATTGTATGCAGAATTGAATAGGATTGAATTGAAGAAAAATATTCTTTACCTGTGTATAGCCCCAATTGGAGCTGCTGCAATTCAAAATAAAATAATTGTAACATGTTTGGCAGCCAGAGAATTAAATTGGCCTTTTGGATTGGACTTAGAACTGTGGGAAGCAGATAGGCAGTGGTTAGGGCCCACAATCACATTTGTGATTGGAACCACTCCTTGAGTTACCCCACTTCTCTGAGAACAAACTGCAGGTTGTCCAAAGAAAGAAAACATGGAGATTTAAGGGGACGAAACCTTCCCAGGTCTGGAAATGTTGTGTATGAGCATGTGTCTGTGTGTAATCATTTCCAGCCCTGGAGGATAAGAACCTCTAACAGTACACAAAATTATTTAGACAATGGAGCTCATTGGCTCCCAGAAAAGAATTGTAAGTATGCAAGCAGTGTGATTACAGTACAAATTTGTGAGTATGTTGATGGTAAAAGTTGCTGTATATGTGTGAGTATGTTGATGGTAAAAGTTGGTGTAAATATCCTGTGTGTTGATCCCATCCCAGATTGAAAGGAGAGTAAGAAATAGCATGTGCAAGGAAATGAGAAAGGTCCCATGGAGACATGTGTGATTTACTGGAAAGAATTATTTTGTTGAAAAGAATGTTGAGTGGAGAAAAATG